ATTGGCTTTCAGCATCTCCTCCGTGTCTTTGATCGTGTGTGAAAGAGCTGAGATGTGTGTGTTCATCTCCTCCAGCTTCTCCTTCATCATCTGCTTCTTCTGCTCCTCTTCCTCCCTCAGTGCAGTGATTGTAGCTTCTTCTTCATCTCGGAGAAACTGATGAAGCTTCTCAAACTGCTGTTTAATCTGACGCTCTGTGTGCTCAGCTTGAGCCTGAAATCAAACCACATTCACTTCAGTCATCTCAGACGCTTTCTGGAGCAGCATTCTGGGAACGCCATTGTCAGTGCAGGAGATCCTGCTTCTCTGATGTAAATGAACACAAAGTGTCACTGAATTATAACTAAATGACTTTCTGATTGATCCTTCAGTATCTCAGAGATGTGGATTGGACAGTAATTAAACCAGCACATGACATCAGACTGTGACTGAAATCAGTTGTAGATTTCTGCTATCATGGTTGATATAAATGTCCTCATGTTATTTAATGATCAAATATCAGCTGTTGTATGATCAATCCTCACCTTGATGTGTTGAGCTGTTTTCTCAAACTCTCTCTTCATCTCTTCATTAAGTTCACATTTCTCCTGTAAAGACTTCAGTGCTGTATTGAGCTCCTCCTACAGGTTAAAGTCCAGATAGAGTGATAATGCATTTAGAAAACACAGTACAGACAAAACGTTTCTGAAAAATACATTTCAAATACAGCTTTAATGATATGTTTCATTGTCAGGTATAATGTGTCTCACCTTCTTTGCTGGAGCCACTTCACTGACGGGTCTGAATGTGTGTTTGAGGTGTTTCTCTGAATCTCTGCACACTAAACACACAGGCTGTTTGTCCTCCAGACAGAAGAGTTTGAGTTTCTCACTGTGTAAACTGCAGATCTCCTCAGATCCTGATGAACGTCTCTCATTTCTCTCCTTCAGGAACGACTCGCACAAGTTTTGTAATGCAAGATTAACTAGAGGTCTGTCTTTTGAGGATCTTCTCCTGCAGACGGGACACTCCTGAGTATTCTTGTTTCTCCAAAACTGCTGAAGACACTCTTTACAGAAACTGTGACTACACGATAATATAACAGGAGTCTTGAAGATATCCTGACACACAGGACAAGTTAAATCATACTCAGCTGAAGAAGCCATTTTCTCCGTCACAGCCAAATGAAGTTTACTTTCACTTTCTGAATTTTTCTAAGTGTGAAAAACCAAAACAATCACAGATCTGCAGAAATCTGTACAGAAATAAATCCTCAATAATCCGTTTTCCTCTTTGTTCTTCACTGATTCCTGATTGATTTTGTCCAGAAATGCAGAAGAAAGTCAGTTTGAGAAAGAAGTGAAATGATCATTCATCGAGTCTCTTCCTGCTGAGTGTGTCAGTGGGTGGAGCAGTTCATGGTTGTTTTTAGGTTGTGCAACAGGTCAGACAGGAACATCAGAACAGAATGCTCACATACACAGACTAAACAATAAACCAGTTTTATTCAGCACATTTCTATTTCTTCAAATCCTGATGTCAGTATAACATCTTCACATGCTGAAGTCACAGTTATTAACAAATGTTTTGTAATCATAAATCTAACAGAGGAGACATTGACAACAATTTCCCCATTCTTAAAAATAAAAAATGACTCAAATTTTGTGCCCTGGTGTCTTAAAACAGCCCTTACTTTAGGCATTCAACCCAAAGTTCGCTCAAATAACCATTTTGAATATTCACACAGACAACAGTGTTACTAAAATGATGCCGATCACAGAGATATTTGTATAAATCTGCATGCCTGACCATTAGTTGGCGCTGTCGCTTCTTTATTTACAATAATTTAAACACTTGCAATGACAAAACAATGATATACAATCATATATGCCCAACCCTGTTCCTGGAGATCTACCTTCCTCCAGAGTTCAGCTGCAACCTCGATCAAACTCATCAGTCTTTAATTACCAAGAGCTCCTTCAGATTCTACTTAGTTGTGTTGATAAAGATTAGAGCGGAACTCTGGAGTAAGGCAGGTCTCCAGGATCAGGGTTAAGCACCCCTGATATACAATAACACAGTCATCTATTATACAATTATCCATCACTGCCAAAACTTCCTGCTCTGTCGGCACCAACCCATCCTTTTACTTATGCTGGCCCCAATCAGGCCTCCTGACAAACTCACCAACACATCCCACATCTACCGGTCAACCACATCACCCAATTTCTACAGCTCTCCACCCTTGGTTCCTCCATCCCCAGCACCCCTGGAGCCAACTACAACACCTCCTCCATGGCTCCTCTATTGTCGACCACACAATCATGAAGTCTCTACATGAAAGAAATGGAAGTTACCAGATCATTGGGCATGAGATGACTGTTTTACAGCTGGTTACCTTATTAGCTCACTGTGGGTTTTATCCAAATTTGCATCATTAATTCTGTGGTTGGTCCTGTAGTCTGTTGAAGAATGCTGTGAATCTGCACTTACCCTGACTATCTACATCCTGGATCAGCAAATGTGCAATAGACCAAGCCTGGATGTGCTGAATAAAGTAGGTAAAGCCACACTTTCTCTGTTCTCCTGACTTTCTTGTTTCTGCTTTTGATCAACATGACTTATGAGCTGGTGGTAATGAAGCATCTCTTTGTTGTGTTCCTTCACCTGCAACCACAACACAAACACCAGGAGCAGGATTATCTCACTTGTCAGTGCTGAAGTAGATCCTGATTTGTCTTTGGTGTTGTGATGAAATGGAGTCTCAGGAAGATTTGAGGTTTCTTGAGTTGAGGACAGTTTCTTATAGTTACTTATTGATTGTTATTATCCACATGTTAATTGTGCATGTCTCCTCTGTCCTCCATGACCTGTGGTGAGTGTAGTTACCTCGTCTCATTTGTAGATCCCAGTGTACATCTAGTAAACACTGTTGTGCAACTCACTACTGCTCTCCTTGTGTCACAGTGGATGCCTTTCTTGCTTCTGGGTCAGTAGACGACCTCCTCTCTGCATCTGTATGTCAACAACTGCAACTCAGAAAGAGATTCAGCCAAACCATGTACACAATTCAGTCAATAACTCAGATGTTCACTTGACTGCAGACAAGGACGACTCTGTTTGGGTGAAATTCAAGCTCAGGTTTTTATTGTCAAATTAGATTGTTTTGATTTTATTCTAAAATTATTTAGTTTCATCTTTATTATTCTCTAATTATTCTGACTATTATTCTTGTAAGGTGTTGACTTTTTTCTTGAATAATAATTTTTTATTCTTGAAATGAACACTTTATTCTCAAATTATTTTGTTTCAACTTTATTATTCTCAATAATTTTCCTCATATTTTTATTCTCAAATAATTTTGCTTCCACTTTTCTTTAATTCTCTAATGTGGCTTTCGTGACCTCTTGATGTTTCTGTTTCTCGCTGATTTTGTTTTTTTCTTGTTATTTCTTGTCTTTATTATTCCCAATTATTGGTTTTTACTTTTTTATTGATGTAAAATGATTTTGTTTTGACCATTTTTCTTGAAATTATTCTAATTTATTATTCATGAAATATTTTCATATTTGATGACACTGTGACAAGACCCCATAAATAAGGGACTAAGCTGAAGAAAATGAATGAATGAATGAATGAATGAATGTGTCGACATTATTATTTTCAAAATGTTTTTATTATTTATTCTCCACACAATATTTAGTTTTGACTTAATTCTAAAAATTCTAAACTCTTTAATGATCGAGTGTAAATCTTTACAGATTCTTGTCAAAGCAACATCAAGACACCTTGTCCACCACAGATCAGTGTGTTCACCAACGCTTTACTTTAAATGATCAGAGACTGAAATCCACACAAAGCAAGTTACAGATGACTCCAGATGCTTTTACACATAATCAAGAAGGTTTTCGGTTTCTCACATTTGTAAAGGACTAAACAAATACATTCATTATTTTCTTCTTTAAACAATCCTCAACATCTGATCAGTGAAGTCAGCAGATCTCCTGAAACACACACACAGCACTGTCTATACTGGAGAGTCATCAGATCTACTGTACTCTACTGTATCCTGCATTGCTGTGTTTGGGTGTTTTCCACATGCTGACAGATGTTTTAGAGGAATCATCACACATTCTGACTGTACACAGACATTTCTCTTGTCATATGTGAATATTTTAAAGATGATCTTATATTAGATTCTCGAGGCTGTTTGTTTACAGCTTAATAAAGCTTTTTCCTCTGTGTCTCTCTTTAAAGATGTGTTTATACTCCAGATTTCAGTGTCAGGATTCTTGTGTCCTGTCCAGTGGATTTGTTCATATTAATTATTATCATTTTGTTATGAACTGCTGTTTAATCATTTGTAGAAACTGATCAGACTGATGCCTGATTTATTATGATGTTGCTTTTATCATTCGTTATGTTGAATTACTGATATTCATGTTATTCACTATTAAACTATTTTAAGCAAACTGATTAAAAAGGATTAGAAAATAATAATAGACTGTAGAATACAAAGTTTATAAAGGGACTTTTATAATAATTAATAATAAACACCATTTATCATCATTTAAACTTATAAAACATTAATAAACATTTTATTATAATTTTATGATTAAATTTTTTTAGTAAAACTTATTTTCATCATTTTAGGAGATATAAAATTTAAAAGATATAAAATTTATATAAAAAATAAATTTTGAGTAATGATATAATGAATTATTATTTTACATGTATTATTTTACAAATAAGCAACAATTGTAAAAACTAAAAATAAATCTTTATTGTCACTTTTGATCCATTTATTGTAAATTTCCTGAAACATTGATATTCTGCTATTCAGATCAACACACTCATATTGACCTGATTAAATATTAGAGACATGATGAAAACAGGAAGATCCAGAACTACAGCTGTAATCTCACTGAACACTGGACGCTAACATCTTAAAAGAGTCAGAACACCAGAAGAAAGGGTAGAGAGTGTGAGTGAAGGTGGTTGTGTAAGTGTGTAGATGTTTGTTATATTGTTCCTCTGTCATAATCCAGATCAACTCGCACTCGATCAAGATCCTGATCAACACGAAAACCAAACCATCTAGACCATCCATAACACACACTCCAGAAATCAGACTTAAAGAAAACATATCCCTTCCTCTGGTTTGATGCTGTTGTTACTCCAAAAATCCAGATTTGACTCTCTTTAACCTCCACGATCCAGCAGTGTTTTCCTGAGTTAAAACCCTCTGAACCCAAAACACAGGGATAACAGTCAAATCTCTCTGGATTATCAGGAACTGGTTGTATTCCTCTGTATGTCACTCTGGTCAGATCATCAGACAGCTCGAGACATTGATGTGCCGTGTTTGGATCCAGGATGACAGGAGCTGAAGAGACACAATCAACAGCTGCTGTTATTCTGATGTTCATATAATGATCAATCACAGATTATTCTGAATTATGACACTCGTCTGTTGATCAAACACATCAGACATTTTCCTCTCATCACTGTCAGTGTTATTAGTTTGATTATTAGTGTTTAAAGGGGTGGTCCACTATGATAGCATATGTTAAACTTTAGTTGATGTGTAATGTAGCTGTGTGAACATAAACAGCATCTCTGTATGTAAAATACTCAAAGTTCAATGCAAAGGGTTTTTACAGAGTTAGCTTAGCAAAGACTACAATGAACGAATTTTGGGGACTACAAAAAATACTCCCGCCCCCTCTGAGATCACAAAAGTTCTTTTACTGTGCACACACACTGCGCATGCAGGTAAGGGCCGTAGCCAGAGGCGCTGTAACGTTATAGCAGAGATAAAGCTAAAAATGCGTCTAAACACTGCTGTTTCCACAGAGCTTCGTCCGTTTCTATATTTAGGCTTACAAAGGACACGACACAAAGACAGAAGTGCTTACAGTTCAATATTAATTATGTTCCAGAGAACTATAAAATACACAGCAAGCATGATTTAACAAAACAGGTCCAGTTCCAGGTCCAGAATCTCTCCCAGTTCAGTGCTGGATTCGGCTAAAATTTCCTTAAAGCAGAAGCTATGAGCTACGACCTGTAAGTGTTTTCATTTGTTAAAATTGATCCTGACATGTACAGTGTCTAGCGTTAAGTCAAGTTTCATAAACTAATTTCGAGAGGAGCACGTGATATGATTGAGCACTGCTGACCACTCATCCGTAATCAGTAATAATCCAATCAGAGTGATCCTAGCTCACTATAAATGGATCATTTTCTCCCTACTGCTCTATCTTTGTTTTGGAAGAATCCCCCCTTACACCCCATCTCCTCCTTTTCCCCCTTTTTTTTTTAAAGGAGAGCTATTGAGACCTACCTGATCTCGGATACCCTGATATGCTTATTGACCAGGCGGGAGCCCTGGGCTCAAATATCTCCAAGCTCAAGGTTTTCTCCGGGACAGCATGCCAAACCTGCTTTAAATGCCAAGCATATCTAAGTGGGAACTCTTAAAAGGTAAGTTTTGCTGTAGCAACGATGTAAACAAAGGCAAATGCTGCTTTGCAGCAAACGATTTAGCTACAAATTCATATTTATCAGTCAAACTGCTGTAAACACACACACCTCTCCAGCATGTTCGTGTCTCTTATGTGTGTGCCCGACTTTGCATTGTTTCTCTTTAGGCAGCTTTTCCATGCATTTTACATCTCAAATAATGAAGTCGCAAAAGATATGTGGATAATTCATATTACTTACACCTGCATACTCCGGATATATGTGAAACACGTCGTGTAACGCATAGAATTAAAAAAATACAGAATAGCTCACCTCGTTGACACGTGGTAGCAGAGAAATAATAAATCAAGGCTCACAAAGGTAGCATCTCACATCTTGTGCTTTATTTCAGAAAAAAAACTTCCATGCACATGCGCTTGTTACAGAAAGTTCACACATTCACACACACACATAGACGCACACACACAATAGCAAACACTCTTAAAGGAGCCGCACCCCATTTTCACTCCTTTGTTACAGACACTTGTCAGATGTTATTTTAGAGAGCGGGCGCGAGTTTGACTGCATGTTTACACAGCAGAAAAGTGCATGCTTTTACGGGCGTGACGTGAAGCCGATCCGCGAATCGCTGCACATTATGACGATGACCAATCAGAGTCACTTAAGGGCGGGCCTTTCAGAGGAACTAGGAAATATGACAGTCGTTTTCATGTTAGCTGAGTAGCTGTGTATAATCAAAGTGAGATATATGAAAAAATTAAGCGATTTCTTTCAAGTGAAACATGAGCATACATTGCTTTGCATCTTATTAACACAACCAAGCCTTAAAATTATATTCTGGACCACCCCTTTAATGGCAGCAGAATCAAACATTACATGTGGGATTCAGACATTTCTGTGTGTGTGTAAGTATCTTTGTTTGATTTGATGATGTATGAAAATCTCTGTGCAGATTTGTGAAAGAATATTAGTAATTAAATGTCAGACATGATTCTCTTCATCATAATGGGACACATGAACATGATGCAGATCTGTTAAAGTACTAAAATAAGACATTAATTAATACAGATACAGATAAATAATACATTAATTATTACAGATTTACGCACTGATCCTTCACAGACAAAATAAACTAATGAGAAATATTAAAAAGTAAAGTCAGAGACTCTTTAGGTGTTATAATCTATAAATCAGCCGCTGTGGTGAAAATACGGCCTGAATGTGTTTCATTATTACATATCTACATTTAAATAATAATAAATCAATACGACTGAATGAATCTCTATTAGAGTTTGACTGAAATAATGATTTAGTTTTAGTCTTTCGGCTGAAATGACTGTTTGAGCTTATTTTACATATTACAGATTTGCTTAGTAATTTTGGTGCATTTCTCACAGCACTATTTACTTTTGCACTACAGTTAATGCATTTCTCTAAACAGTTCAGATTTGTGCACATCACAGTAGCAGTTTCTCATTCCTTCCTACATAACTGCAAATGCTTTTTTACGTGCATCACCTGCTTTCAAAAACTCTCTGCTGTTTATAACATGATCATCTGCTTATGTCATGTCAGTCAACATTAACTACATTTGTAAATGCTGAATAGTCAATCCATATTAAACTCAGTCCTCATTTCATTACTGGAGTCACCACAGACAAACATGTTGAACTAGAGTCAAAATCTGTCAAGATCATTTTATAAAAAAAATTAATCTTTATTTTACCAAAAATGACTTCTAAATTGAAGAATTTGATGAATGATTTACTGACCTATGTATGTTGTAGGTTCAGTTCCGATATGTACTGCGATGTTGTCTACAGTTGTACACAGCTTTACCCAAAGGGAGTTTATGTTTGTTGTAAATTTTTATCTTTATTGTGGTTGTTGCTGTAATACTTTTATTCCTATTATTACTTTTATTGTTATCTTTTACTCTTTTAGAGTGTGTGCTATGGTTTTGTTCAGCACTTTGTTCAGTGCCAAACTGAAGTAAATGTGCTTTATAAATAAACTTTACTTACTTACTTACTAAATAAGGGTGTTTTTATTCTTTCGCTGTGAGTAAATTAGAATTGCAAAGAGCATATGCAAAAATGTCAAACATATTCAGTGTCTTGTACTCAAATAGCTTACTAAATGCAGTGATGTCTAACTTTACTGTAGTTTTCAAATGGCTGTGCAAATAGTATACAGTGCTGTCTTGAGCATTTTCAGGAAGTGTCACCAAAATCTGATTTTATTGCATTGAACAAAATGTACAAAGTAAACTGTCATAATGAAAACATGACTAAGCCATTTGACTATGCTGTTCATAAACAATGGTGTCAGGACTTTTCATTTTGATGACACTGACACTTTGATTGACATCAATACTTGCTTTTGAGGAATGAACTGTCCATTTTGAGTATGTGACACACTTTTGCAGGTTATCAGCTAGGTTTTGCAGTTTGTACTAATTGTTTTGAGAAATGCATTAACTGTTGTGCAGAAATGCACTAGTGTTGTGAGAAACGCACCAAAGCTACTGAGAAAAACTGTAAATAGTTTAAAAGATCAGATCAAAGCCGGTCTATTGTCCAGCACAGAGCGCGTTGGTTGTGCGCCTCGTTTACCCACGGCTTAATACACACAAGATGTAGAGCAATACGCAAATATCTTTAGAAATTAAAAACAATTAAAGCATTAAAATATTACAAAACATTATTTTCTAACCTACATAAGTATAAAAACCACCGCCTCCATGCCTTCTTCATCTCGGGAGGCTTTTTCAGTTCATTTATGAAAATTTGCTTTTGTGTAATGTTATTATTATTAGCAATATTATTTATTTTACACATATTTATATTTGTTTTATATAAAATAAGCTTAGATTTACCCACCTGCAGGTTTTAGACCATATGGGGCACAGCATGTGTTTTAGGATATAACTCAGGTTTTTAACACACTTCATTATTATTGTTCATTTATTCATTTGCTGGAAATTAGAACTGAATTTAGAAATAGTTTTGAAACAAAGCAAAGCTTTGCGCTTAACAAATGAAATTAATAATGCAAAGACTAATGGATGTCTGTGCATAACACATTTCCCTATCCACAAGAGTGAAAGTGAAAGTAAAGAATGAGGAGGCTCATCTCTCAATCTCGCGCTGCAGATGCTCGGTTTAACTGTTTTCTCGCTAGTGAAGTGTTCAGTTTACACACTTACAAAGTCCGTCATGTGAATAGCAAATGCGCCATGATGCGACACAACTCACTTTTAAAGGGAATCTTAGATGAGACTCTGATTGGTTTATTCTCAAAACACACCTATAACTCATTAAGAAAATAAGCTCAACCCTGTTAGACCATGCGCCACGGCGCAAAGCGGATTTTTCCGTCCTTAAAATAGTAATAGTGGATTCTGACACGCCCTAAATGCGTTTGAGCCCTGCACTTTGGACTTTGCGCATGGACCGTCAAAATAGATCCCCTTCACTTTCTCCAAGCTGAATCAGTCCAGCGCTTCTGTGTGTGTATGAAACCTGCATGATCTCCAGTGTGTGTGTGTGTGTGTGTGTGTGTGTGTGTGTGTGTGTGTAAGAGCTCAGACTCACTGTACTGGACAATGTCCTGCATCTTCTTCCAGACTCTGAACGGCAGGTTGCCCAAGTAGCGAGACACATGAATCAAAGCTCCAGAAGGCATCTGTGGATCCGGCTGTGAGATCTGGACTCTGGAGGAACATTCAGGAGTCAGAACTGCAGTGGCTTTGACTTCAGAAGCAGAGAAACCAGCAGATCACTCACCTTTCCATTGAGACTGGAAACTCCTGCAGAACAAACACACAACTGATCATCAACAACTCAATCAATCATCAATCAATCAATCACTGATCTGAAATCAGACCTTCAGAAAGCAGACGTCATTGGCTTTCAGCATCTCCTCCGTGTCTTTGATCGTGTGTGAAAGAGCTGAGATGTGTGTGTTCATCTCCTCCAGCTTCTCCTTCATCATCTGCTTCTTCTGCTCCTCTTCCTCCCTCAGTGCAGTGATTGTAGCTTCTTCTTCATCTCGGAGAAACTGATGAAGCTTCTCAAACTGCTGTTTAATATGACGCTCTGTGTGCTCAGCTTGAGCCTGAAATCAAACCACATTCACTTCAGTCATCTCAGACGCTTTCTGGAGCAGCATTCTGGGAACGCCATTGTCAGTGCAGGAGATCCTGCTTCTCTGATGTAAATGAACACAAAGTGTCACTGAATTATAACTAAATGACTTTCTGATTGATCCTTCAGTATCTCAGAGATGTGGATTGGACAGTAATTAAACCAGCACATGACATCAGACTGTGACTGAAATCAGTTGTAGATTTCTGCTATCATGGTTGATATAAATGTCCTCATGTTATTTAATGATCAAATATCAGCTGTTGTATGATCAATCCTCACCTTGATGTGTTGAGCTGTTTTCTCAAACTCTCTCTTCATCTCTTCATTAAGTTTACATTTCTCCTGTAAAGACTTCAGTGCTGTATTGAGCTCCTCCTGGAGGTTAAAGTCCAGATAGATTGATAATGCATTTAGAAAATACAGTACAGACAAAAAGTTTCTGAAAAATACATTTCAAATACAGCTTTAATGATATGTTTCATTGTCAGGTATAATGTGTCTCACCTTCTTTGCTGGAGCCACTTCACTGACGGGTCTGAATGTGTGTTTGAGGTGTTTCTCTGAATCTCTGCACACTAAACACACAGGCTGTTTGTCCTCCAGACAGAAGAGTTTGAGTTTCTCACTGTGTAAACTGCAGATCTCCTCAGATCCTGATGAACGGCTCTCATTTCTTTCCTTTAGGAACGACTCACAGACATTTTTTAATCCCAGATTAACTGGAGGAGCTGATTTTGAGGATCTTCTCCTGCAGACGGGACACTCCTGAGTATTCTTGTTTCTCCAAAACTGTTGAAGACACTCTTTACAGAAACTGTGACTACATGATAGAAGAACTGGAGTCTTGAAGATTTCCTGACACACAGGACAAATATAATCATATTCAGCTGATGAAGCCATTTCCTCTGTTCCAGCAAGTTTACTTTCACTTTCTGGATGTTTTCAAAGAGTGAAAAACCAAAAGAATCACAGATCTGCAGAAATCTGTACAGAAATAAATCCTCAATAATCCGTTTTCCTCTTTGTTCTTCACTGATTCCTGTTTGATTTTGTCCAGAAATGCAGAAGAAAGTTTGAGAAAGAAGTGAAATGATCATTCATCGAGTCTCTTCCTGCTGTTTCAGTGGGTGTAGACGTTTATTATCATATTTAGGTTGTGCAACAGGTCAAACAGGAACATCAGAACAGAATGCTCACAAACACAGACTAAACAGTAAAATAAATAGTTTTAACCTCCTTCATTTTCTTCAAATCCTGATGTCAGTATAGTTTCTTCACATGCTGAAGTCACAGTTATTAACAAATGTCTGATTTTGATGCTGATTTTCAGTTTTGTAAATATAAATCTAACCGAGGAGACATTGACAACAATTTCCCCATTCTTAGAAATAAAAAAATACTCAAATTGTGGTCGTGGGGCCTGTTTCAGAAAGGAGGTTGAGTGAAAACTTTGAGTGAGTATTTTAACCCTGAAATGAGAGAAACTCTGGGTTTTCCGTTTCAGAATGGCTGGTTTGTTAAACTGGAGAAAGCAGGGTAAGTCAAGCCTGTTTCTGAAAGAGAGGTAACTTTAACCATGTCTACACTAATCCAGATAAATTTGAAACGGAGTTTTCCTTTAAAACGCTTCACGTCCACACTGTTGTTTCTATTTGTTTTCCAAAACGTTGTCATCCACACTGAAACGACTACAAATGCTTTCACCCTGTACTGCGCATGCGTGAAACGTAAGATGCTTCGGCATTTCCGCCTGACGTTTATTTTCTTTCCGGCTCTTTGAAACATTGCGGCAAAATGTCAAGGAAAAGCACAGAGTTTTTTTAAATGGACTGACTTTAAATGGAGTTGCTGCGTCGAGTAACACATGAATACAAAGTCGCAAAAGAGAGTGAAAATGTAGACTGGGAGACGGGCCAAAACAAATACGCTGATATACTGGACCGCTTTAAAGAACAGTATCCTGCTGATGACGCTGCTTACCCTCACAGTAAGGGCGACATCACTAAACTCATAATCACAACGAAATTAAACGAATTAGTAACATGATTGCGTCATCGTTTTCGAAAGACTCTGTTTTTACAGTCTACACTACGACATGAAAACAGCGTTTTCAAATTTATCCACTTTGAAGAGCGTTTTCAAAAAGATACGTTTTTGTTTCCTAAAAACGCGTCTCAGTGTGGACGGAAGGGCAAAACAAAGACAAAAAATACATGGCCTTTAACTGAGAGTCAGTTACTGTGGTCACTTACTCTGTGAACCTAACCTGGTCAGGAGCAGGTTTTGTTCTCTAAACTCTGTGTTTATTCTAAAAAGCCTGAACCGTTTCAGTATTAATGGTATTATAAAATGACCTGCAGAGCGTCTGGAGTGTGTCAAGAACGTTTTCCGCGTCTCATGGCCTCAAACACCCCCACGTGTTTATTGTGTGTCAGCATTGTCTTCTGAGGGGCAAGTACATTTATTAAATATAGAAAAGATTGACGCAGCTTCTTCTACCGCAGTAAATTCTGCTTTTACTGTTGATATTTGGTGCCTGTTTAATCAGGAAGTGATGATTTGGTTCTCTTTGACTCGTTGGATGGAAACGCTGCTTTATTCGCACATTTTTCATGAGTTATTCCAGTTTTGCACATAAATTTAATTAATATTATTGGATGGAAACAGCTATTGCCTACATTACAGTCACACAAAGAACAAAGTCATGTACGAGAATGGCTTGTCCTTTTTAAATAAATAAAGCTTAAATTCACTGACCTTCAGCAGGGACAAGTAGCCTAGATTAATTAGGATTATTATTCTTTCTAAAAACTATTTTTCGTTTTGCTTACATTGTAAATGTCATATCAACCTCTATCACTTGATCAATAATAAAGGCAGACACACAAGTGCACTGTTAAATTTATTAAAACTGATCAACGTGTATAAAAGTGGGAACTTGTGTAAAGATTTTATAAACGTCACACATAACATTACTTATTTTATTCAACTTTAATATTTAAATGCTTTAAATGTAAAATGAACTTAAGCAGCTATGTTTTCCCATGCTAACTGTCTCTGTTTCACTGATGCAGTGGTGTTGCTTTTCAAAATATATGCTCATATTTGCTATAACTATGCATGAGCGGATCAAATTCAGCAGGAGAAAGAAACGCTGATCTCTTTTTTTAAGATGTTGTCATAGTCACTCATAATATCTGCGCTCCATTGATAATGCCTTTTTATAGTCGCAGTGTGCACGCTTAACTATGAGTTGGTCTACTCAAAGTTGATTGACCCAACTCAGATCCACTATTCTGAAACTCAAAACTCAGAGTTTTTAATCTCTCGGTATCAAGTTTAAACTGAATTGTTTGAACCTCCTAACTAAAACAGGCCCCAGATGTTTTACAGTGTGCTCAGCCTGCTGTTTTGTCTACACACACACACACACACACACACACACACACACACACACACACACACACACACACACACACACACACACACTCATAACAAAATCACATGACCCTTTTTAGTGCACATACAGGAACTTGTTTGGTGAAAGTATTTCCATCATAGTTTACCTGCATCTTTTCTTATCGAATGAAAAGTTTATTCTATTCATTTATTCCAAATTTATGTGCATCTTGGCATTTCCATCTACCGATTAAGGTGGATGGAAACGTAGCTACTGTGAGCAGTTGAAACACAACCTGAATATGAACAGACTTGTTGCGACTCCAGACTGCACATTTTCCAATCTGCCTATTATTTGTGTCTTGAAATGGTTTAAACCATAAATGTGGTTTACCAGTTGTCAGGCGTTATACTTCTGTGCATTTATTGTGTTCACATTTCTGCATGTCTGTGTTTAACAACCTGTCCAAATATAAAAAGAGCCTCCATTCATGTCTTATAAATAAATAAATAAAGCAGCAGTCACTTTATTATGTCTTTATTAAGAAATGCACATTAGTCTTTCTTACAACATGTCATGTGCGCAGTATAAAACAAGTTACTCTGTACAGTAAAATACTTTGCTTTACACAATAATAAATATATAAATAAATAAATACATAAATATACAGTGAAAAAGCAACACAGGCTCATTCTGAAAATGTATCCCTGTATATGTTTCTGGAGATCGCGAATTATGTAGCCAGAGGTAAAAGTAAGGCTGCATTTCATCTTTAAAATGAACGCTACGGGCTGGTATGACACTGTATGGACGGCATTTCCACTGTTACGTTTGTACAGTGGCTCGATAAGTACGTCAGCGGACTTGAGATACAGAGCGAAGTTGACCACGACAACAGGGGTTAAGTCTGGTGAAGAACGGGTCCAGAAAGCAGATAAGACTAAAACAAAAGCCAAAAAATTAAATAATCAAGTAAATAGCAGCGTGAGAATGTGGTAAAATCTGAAAACGTGGTAAAAATAAGACGAGGGCTTTCTTTTTCACGATTGCTTTTTAAAATACTGCTGTTGCGTGAAGGGAAGGGGATGAATGGGTCAATTGGTGCTTTTGAAAACACTATCGGTTGGGTTTAGAGGATGGATGGTGGGTCAGCTGATCGGTCAGTCAGTCAGTAGACATCGACCTCTAGTGGATTTACGTGAGAACAGCAGGCGCAAATGGCACTCGCGAGAGAAATTCGAGATCTGAAAGCGTACACAGCGGCCTCTGGTGGATTCACAACAAACAAAACTGCAAAACAAACGCAGCATATTTTGTCGATCTCCAGAAATGTATATAGAGGTGCGTTTTCAGAATGAGCAAAAAGTGCAACAGTGCAAAAAAGTGTCTTTAGTATCTAAAATATCGTCTAGTCGTGATATTTACAAGTCAAATCATCTTTATTTACACAACACTTTATACAATGTAGATTCAAACAAACACAGATCAAGAAAACATCAATAAAACAGATCAACAATGTCAGTTCAGTGTACAAAAGTCTCTGTTGAAGATCAGTTCAGTGTGGTGTAAATGTCTCTGCTGATGGTCGATCCACTGAAGAGCAGCTCCACCAGTCCAACTCCAGCAATCCAGGGCTCTTGAGCTTTGCTTCTGGATCAGGAAAAGCTTCTTTATGGTGATTTTTGATGATTTTGTAGATTTTTTTGTAGGTTTTTCTGCTTTGTGTGTGAAATTCTTACATGAGGAAAAACAAAGGAAACATTAAGCCATATCAGCAGCACATTTAGACCAACACAACAGTCAAATCATCTCGTCTGTGAACGGCCTCTTAAAGCTCCATCAGTCGACTGATAAAACTGTTCATCCACCGAGAATAAGCATCACACACATGCAGATATCTGCTTATATGCAGCAGAGTTTAGTCAAACACAGTCATATACGTGTGTGTTCGGCTTTCATTGTCTCAGTTACCATCTTCTAACATTGTGTTTCTTCTACATGAACTGTGTTGCTGAACATCTTTAATGCTTGTTTATCTTGATGAGTGTAAAGTGCACAACAGCATCCTCGCTCAACTGAAGATGATTCAGAAAACCAGAAAACTAATCAGCTTTGTGTGTCCCGCTATTATCACTGTAGTCTCCTACTGGACCAGTGGTGTGTTTACCTTCATCCCCTCTTCATCAACAGCTTCTTCATCCACTCGTGCTGTAAGATGTCCTCCAGTGTCCACGAGTGTTCCTCCACACACTTTTCTATCAGATCACAGCACTCTGTACAAGGAGAGAGAGAGATAAAGGAGACGTTTATGAAGATATCTTCTGAAATTTGAGATTAAAGAAGCTACTGCAGGGTTCTGGAGGGCCGGTGTCCTGCAGAGTTCTGCTCAAACCCAAATCAAACACTCCTGAAACCAGCTAATCAGTGGATATATCTGACATTACCCCCCCTGTACCCTTAAATAGTGCACTGTTTGAAGGAGCAGCCATGTGTAGTGGTC